CTCTGAGGCCTTGTGCGTAATAATATAGCGATCCTTGCTCTCGTAAGGGAGCGGATGTGACTCCCCTGTCTGGGGATCGAAGACTCGCATGGGCGGCGCCCTGTCTCTATCTCTGTCCCTCCAATAAGAATCCCTCAAACTCTCTCTCCAGTCGTCTCTATGCCTGTCCGCTATGGTGTCCCTCTGCTCGTACTAGGGGGAGCGTCGCCTCGTCGCTTCTCGTCGTCCGCTCGAGGTACCCATCTTTAGAGCCTCCTGCGGCTCTGTCGCAACTGGTTCGCCCCTTACGTCGGGCCCTCCCTCATTGGTTTGGTCAGCCCATCTCAGCGGTGCTTCTCGCCTAATTCGTTCCTTCAGATCCCTCAGAGCTCGATCGGGCGATGTCCTGTACTCCTCTCCCGCTTCGCCCGTGGCCGGTTGTGGCCCCATCGTGTCGGGTTCCATTGGACCGCCAGAAGACGCAGTTAGGTATTCTAGCCAACTGTTACAGCCCGACCCTATGACAGTCGCTGCAGCCCGTACCTGTGACAGTTGCGGCAGCCCGGACCTGTTTCCTTGTTACGGCTCGCGTCCGCCTCCAATCTTAGCTCTCGACTGCCTTGATTACCACTTCCAGTATTCCGTACCGGTCGCGGATCTCGTGCTCTCCCTCTATCCCAAGAATCCCTGTGTCTACGTAAACCTCTCCTTCGGGATCGGCCAACAAGGCCGTGCCTCTCCGGATCTGCAGTACACCCGTGACAGGACCTCTATCCTTGAGACAGATTGCAGTCCCAAACCTAGCCAATGTCTCCTGATCAACACCCCTCAAGAGTCTCCGAGCGTCTATCTCCGTCCTCCTTGCTAGTTCTCCTAGCCCTGTCCTGAATCGGTTAGCCATCCAAAGTCGCCCATCGACCTTTCTAGCTTCCACTACCCTTCCAAAAGCTTCCAATTTCTATTTCCACTCCTCTATCTCCCAGACGGCTACGAGGTCATTTGTCTAGTAGTTGAGGTAAGTTAGGTGTAGATTAATAACTGAAAATTCCCGTCGCTTGCCTCACCCCTTTGGGAACAAGCTAGTAGGTTCACCCGAAACCAGGTTACCGCAGCGTCTCTTTCCCTTCTTCTTCTAGGAAATTCTTTTGTATTTTTCAATTATAAATTACAGAAAATGTATTTAGTTAGGATAAAATTTCTTTCTTAGTTTATATATATTAAGGATCAATACATATATAAGCCCGACGAGTTTGATGATTTTTAGGGGTAGAAATAAAATTTGAGGAATTTACTAAAATTTCGGCAACGTTTCGCCTCCCCCCATTGGAATGGGGTTCGGGCGAAGCCCTCAAACAGCGCTGCCGAAGAGGGAAAATCAAAAGGAATAATGAAAAAAAAAGCAAAATTGATTTAACCTAATTTTTAAATATTTTTGTTAATTAATTAGCAAAAAATTAAATTAAAAGGGAATTTCGAGAAATTTCGACAGCAGTTTTCCTTCCCCCCGATAGGATGGGGTTCGAAAAAAAGTCAAACAAATGCCCTTACGCAATTTTTAATATTTATTTCAATTTTATCGATTTTAAATAACAAAATCAAAAGTAAAATAATTCTTAATTATTTAATGGGGCAAAACTTCCCGAATTAATTTCCACAATCTTACGGGATATATTTGACAAAAAATCATCCATAACAAATGCGGAAGCTAGAAGCTATGGCTTCCCTCTATCTACCCACTTCTCTCAAAATTGGGGTAAGGACTTCACCCTAATTAGGGTTTCCCCTAATTAGGGTTTTGGGTTTTGCGAGCAACTGCACGAACACCGCAAAGCCCTGCTCGACGCGAGAAAATTTTTGTTAGCTTTCACTAGTTTTAGAAGAAAAACTTATTGGATTACATTTTTTAATTTCTTTTTCTTTTAATTTAAACAAAATTACAAAGAAATTCAATTTCCCGTTGATTTTCTTCCCCCTTTTATATCTGTTGGAGCTCGCCGTTTGTCCAAACGAAGTCCGTTTTCCCCGACTAGGGTCTCAAAATGTCGGGAAAAATACAGTGACCAACTTTGGTCAACGCGAGGTTCCCCTAATTTCGCTTATTTTCCCGACCATTTCAATAAAACGAAAATAAAAAATTTTGGAATTTTTAATCAGAAAATACAAAAAAATTTATATCTCGCTTTTTAGCCGTTTGAATTTCTCAAAAAATATCTCAAAACGTTCGCCTCGACGAGAGGACGAACTTTGCTCCAGATGCGCCTCACACGAAAGCGCGCGGATCAGGAGATATCGACGAAAAACCAATTAGAATTTTTAACTCATGATTTTTGGGATTTTTAATTAGAAAAATACAAAAAATTCCATATCTTTTTCTTTTTGCCGTTAGAATTTTTCAAAAAACGTCTCAAAACGTTCGCCTCGACAAGAGGGCGAACTTTGCTCCCCGCGCGGCTCGCGCAAAAGTGCGCGGATCGGGAGATATTTCAAAAAAACTAAATAAAATAATTATCAAAAATAAAACTAATCAAGAAAACAAGCTAATTAGTGTTTGACTAATCAACCCGTGCACCCCCGTTGGTTGGGGAAGGCCGCGGCCTTGGGGGTGCTGTTCCCCTCCCCGGCGACGGCGCCAAAGTTGTGAGGAAACCCGGGGAGGGGCGCCTACCGTTCGCCGAAGCCAAGGGCAACCGCGTCTGTCACCCGCCGCACCCGCTTCCGAGGTCCTCGGCGACCAGCAGGAATCGAAACTTGCGGCGTCCTATCACGCTTCCAATTTTCTTTTTCTTTCTTTTTGTAATTTAGCAACTTCACACAGCAAGGGGTTTCAACGGTCAACTGGTAATACCACAAGTTCACACAACCGTAAGTTTCAACAGCTGACTGGTTTAACAGCTAATCAACAGTTCAGCGAGTTCACGCCACGGTGAGTTTCAATAGCTGGCTAGTAACTTAGCAAGTTCAAGCAAGAGTGAGTTTCAACAGCCAATCAACAGTTCAGCGAGTTCACGCAACAGGGAGCTTCAACAGTCAACTGGCAAATTAGCTACGCGCGCAGCAGCAAGTTTTCGGAGTCAACCTTGGATGTGCCCCCCCAGGTTCTCTTTCTCTCTCTCTCTCTGTTCTCTGTCTCTCGCTGTTCTCTCTCACTCTCTGTCGCTGTTCTCTCTCTCTCACTCTCCCCCGGTGTTTGGTAAGCTTTGTATACTCCATCATGACACAAGGTGCTGGCCAGATCCGTGCGCTGTCTCGAGTAAAAAAATTAATATGACATAAATTTGGATGCACACGTAGACCCATTCGTGTCCCCTCCACCCAAGGTCTTCCATGAGAGCTACCCACTTGGGTGTATCAATGGCCAGGTAATAGGGATGGGTACACTTCCATGCAGTTCGCTCTTGCTCGATGCGGGCTGGGTTTCCCCCCAAATGAACCAAAAGGAATATTGCTCCTTCGCTAGTGTATGAGAAGATTTTCAGCCATACCCCCGTTTTCTGTTCTGAGCAGCGACTCAATTACTCTTCACATAATGAGAAAGAGTAATGTCAGGGGATCGCTGAGGGTTGTACCTCGAGTATTACCTCGAGTATTCACCAATGCAGTGGAGCAATAAAATCTAATCAAAAATATTATTTCTCTTTTTTTTATTTTTTATTTTTTATTATATATATTGCGACCTATCAATCGAGCGGGGACTCCGAGTCCGTGTATCTCTGAAGATCAGCGAGTACGCTCTTCTTTCCTCCGTTTTGTCTCCCTATTTTCCCCCTTTTTCCTTGAGACACTCACTCACACTTTCGGTCTCAGTCCCTCTCTCTCTCCTCTGGCTCTATCTCCCCTTCTCATGCACACCAACACTTATGCATTCTTACCCCCAAGGACGCTCTCTCTCTGTGCTCTCCCTCTGTACTCTCTCTCTGCGCTCCCCCTTTGTGCTCTCTCTCTCTTCTCTCTCTCTTCTCTCTCTCTTACTCTCGCTCTCTCTCTCTCTCTCTCTCTCTCTCTCTCTCTCTCTTACTCTCTCTCTTCTCTTTGCTGTGTGTCAGTCCCCCTCTCTCACTCTCTCTCCCAGCCTGCAGTGCTACGGCACGCTCAGGGGAGTTACAACCGCGCTGGCCCCTGGCGTTATGTTCATTTGGTCACGAAAATAAGATCCGTACGGTCAAAATTCGCGTTTTCAAATCCCCCTTGTGAATATGTGGTCTGATCTGCTATTGGCGCCGACAGTGGAGGATGCCAGCCTAGAATTCGTCCTCATGTCGTCTGAGAGTGGCCGTTCCCACGAACAGTAAGTATGGCTGATTGCATCATCAGCGGGAGCGGCTGTTCCCACGAACAGCGGGTATTTCTGGTTCTCCCCTCTGCGCGAGTGGCTGGATCACACCCACCCTGGGGGTTATTGATTGTCTCATCAGTATAAAATAACAGATGGCATAAATGATKACCTGCGACGTTCACATGACAAAATGTTGGTCGTAAGGATCGCATGTGTCGCAGAGATTATGCGGCGGGGGAAAGTGACTGGTCACACCAACAGTGGGTGCATCTGTTTCTCTCTTCAGCGTGAGCGCTGATCAATTCAACARCGGGTGCCGATCACAMCTGCAGTATGTCCCTCTTCAAGTCACAGATGCGCCTGGTACGCCGGTGCCCCTTTCCACACCCCGGTCATGGCTGCCTAGATAACGTCTTTTCCGCCTGCTTGCACTGTACTCCTGGCACTCTTATTCTCTCTCCTCTGTCTCTCACATGGGAGTCTTCCATGGCTGTTGGTTCTGTCTTGTGACTCGGAACAACTTCGGTTCTGTATTGTGACTCGGGAGGGCATACTCATCTTCGTCTTCACTCCATAGCTCTATGATAAGACTCCGAAGTCAATCGCGCTTATGCGAGGCACACCTGGCTCGCTGTTTCCCCCCCGGTTGAAACGCGCTATGCTGAGTGCCCCCTACGCCAGRCACTCCCCACCTTCTCGCCCAGTCTCTTTGCCTTTCTCCTCCCACACGAGGAGTAACCGCTTGCGCGATGTGGGTTCTGCCCCGTGCTTTCTCCTCGCCCGCGGTGCAACCGCCTAAGCGCAAATGCCCCCACTCCGAGCTTCGTGTCGCGGGTACACCTTGCTCATTTTTTCTTTCYCTTCCGACCGTCTTCCCTATATKGTTCCCCAGTTCACCYGAGCGTGGACCTCGGCCCAGTCCCAGCCCGTAGGCCTTGGCAAACTAGAGGTAATAACTCAGTATGCCCCAACAGTCCCAACTGGTCCACCCTTACCACTCTGTTTCGGTATCAGAATAGCATGTTGCGTTCGCTGTGAGTCCCCACTGTCGACARAGAGCYGCTGCGGCAGGTTTATGCCGATGTAAGAATAWAGGACCGGAGTGATCATGAACCAGGCCTATTACCGCGACGTASCYGATTTGGACCAGATCAGTGTTACACACCAAGACKTKCCATAGGAGCATCGTAWCAGCATCARCCATGAGGTTATACCACACCAGCGCCAGGAGTGACGAATCTGCAGTCGTACCAGTCTTGGGYCGCCGCGCCGACGCTAATTATGAAGTTCAGAATTGCAACAATCCGCACCGTRMTAGTGTCRTCCCAGATCCGAACCCGAGTCGACCCGCTGCTGTAGTTCCGGGCCTGTCGTAAAATGGTGTAGCAGTTCCGGACCTGAGAGTTAATCTCCGCGGGAGCCTTAACCAGCGCAAAACCTGAAACAAGCTGATGCCGAACCCACACCGAGCCTGGAACAATTGTTGTAACGGTGTCGGTTCCGAACCCGAACTGAGCTACCGCGGTGGTCTCAGACCTGAAAATAAATCACTAAGARGGTTCTGACCCTGAAAACGAGACGCCGTAGTGGCCTCATGCCTGAAACATACTG